CGAGCATCGTAGCTCCAGGAAAAAGAGAAATACATATAGGGGCATTTGTTCCTTTCCTAAAGGATGATAGATACGGTTACTACAATGCTATGAAAATGGCCATCGATATCATTAACAACAGGACTGATGTATTGCAAAACTATACATTGGTGTTGGACGTGCAGGATACTGCTTCGGTGAGTGTATTACATCATTTTTAGCAAAATTGCTCCAAAGCCTTCAGTTTTTTCGCCAAAATATTTACCGAGAAATTTACATTTAGAGATAAGTTTAGGGACTTTTTCTGATTTTCTTATTTGTAATACTCGTGGAGATACAGTTGTGGTCGGTAAAATATCCTTTTTTTTCTCCGTATCAATATCCATTCATGACATGCCCGCCTAAATTAAAACCAACAGGATCTTATTCCTTTCAAAGTAAAGATAAATTGAATAACAATAAATGACGAAAGTGTATTTCACGACAAGCTCTAACATGTAGAACTTTTGTTTCCTAGTTTTATTTCATTCAGTTACCAATCCAATCAAATTCTATTTATTTCTTCACTTCGAAGCTTAAGTAGGCAAAATTTGTACCTTTGGCCAACACGCCATCGACGCTAAATGAAAAGAATTGCATAGTACTCCCACTATCGACTGAAATCATTGAGAGATTTTGGCTCAATGTCCTTATCAATTAAAACACTTCTATGCCCGTAAATCATTTTATATTATTATCATTTTTTTAACGTTTTCCTTTTCACTTGCTAACTCCAATCTTATTTACATCCGAAAAAAAATATAGAAATGACTTAATTCCCACCTTATCATTTCATTTCTGTGAAAATCATGGACATAAAGGGAGCTAAATTGGACAAAGTCTGGAATATTCCACAAATTGTTATTGTATTTACTCGTATGATCCGGTTTCATTTTCTTTTTTTAGAGTATTTAAAGTTATATTGATAGTTCTGCTTGTTAAAAAATGGCCAGTATTATGTCAGTCATATCTCTGTGCCTCTATACTCTCTAATTGACCAGCTGTCGAGCGAGTTTGAGTTTCATTGATAAATACATTAAGCGAAGGTTTGAACTAAATATCCCTAATTTGTTTTGCGTGTTTGAATTTGAAAAGATTCAATTTTTGTTTTTTTGCCTTTTCGGTTTTGATTCTTTATCAAGCAAAGTTCCAATTATTAAACCATTTAAATGCTGATTATTCTCTCACAAAAAGCCATCTTTCCAAATTTCTTCGGCTCCAGTCGTCTCCAATCACTCATAGTAAAATAACTGTGATGACTGCAACTGGCGTTCTCTTCGTCTCCCATGGTCTACTAATGTAGATATCAGGCCTGATTCAAGGGCAAAAAAAAACTTTGGTAGGGAAAGCTAACAGACTTCCTATATTATTTTTACATTTTTCGTTGGAATGGTATGAGTTTTCGAGAATGAAATTTTTTTTTTTTAAATGAGCTTGCCCTTTACGGTTAAAAGTTCGGGTACGTGATGTTGGAACAAATTAATTTAAACTGGAACGTGCCTCTTGGAATCGATTTCGGTCCAAAAAAAAATACGTCTCTGCGTTGACTGTTAGTTTGATGATGAAGCATTCTATCTAAATAACACTTTGCCTATTAAAGTTTTATCTTTGAAGAAAGTAAAGAGTTTTGGGTAAAAATGGACAAAATCTGGTGATATTATGGCCAATTTCTTCAGGTATCAATAAATCTGTCTAGAACATGCGAGAAAAGTTAAGTAGGGATCTCCTTTCGTAAAGTTAAATGCTGGCGTCTGATAGCCTTCTATCAAGATAAATACATTCATTTGTTTCCAAAAAGTCGAATAAATTTTACTTTTTTGCCGCTCTTTTCATTTCTGAGATCATTGACGGATTACTTCACTAAATTGAATAAATGGACGGAAAAAAGGTACAGCACCTGTTTAAACAAGTCTTTCTTCACATCAAAACACTTTTTAGAACTACTCGTACATTGGTCTTAGACAATTATTTAGCTATATCGGTGGAACCTGACAAATATGACTAGTTACTGTCATAACCAGGGAAGAAGCAAGGCATTGAGAATTACTTTCAAAATAAAATTTGTAACAACGGTATCCGGTACGATTCCTTTAGTCTGTTAAATTAAAGTCGGTAAAGGTGCTTGCAAATTCTATATCTTAAATCAGTCATACCCAATTGGCGTCTGGAAGAACAGAGACAGCATTCAAAAGCTTTATGAGAGAAATAATGAATGGATACCATGAATAGTCAGTGGGTCTAGGCATCACTTACGATTGACTCAACAAAAATACGTCTTTTCGCTGGAAAATTCGGTCTAAAAATAATCTCCTCAGGAAAGGGTTGACCACATCCGGTAGCGCATGCACATAAGCTACTTCTAGTGCTGAGACGTCGTCGTCCTCTGGGAACTCATCGACTCGTAAGCTCTCTATTATCTTTTTAGGACACTGGTGCACAAGCCATAAGAGCTTTCTACAGACTGCTAAACAAGGAAAAGAAACCTGCAATACTGCTTGGACCTGCAAGTACAGAGGCCTTAGAACCTGTAGCAGAGGCTGCAACACTGTGGTATCTCATTCAGGTTTGCTTTGAAAATGTTGCCTCCTCTGGGAAGGAAACTCTTTATTCGTACTATTTCAAGAGGTTACTACAGATTATAAAAGTCAGAATATATAAAAAACAGTAAATTACATCAATAATCAAAAGTAAAATGTGCACAGTGACCTAAGTAGCATAGTTTTCGAGTTGGCCACTGAAAAGGGTTCGATCAAGATATCCCTTAAGGGAAAAAATCAATTGTCAACACCTATCAGTTCTGGTATACAGAAAACTTTCTTGAATTGCTAACTATCACATAGGGGAATTTTATTTTTTTTTTTGACCATAAGATTTGTGTACATATATCTATTTTGCAAACGCCTTATTTCGATTCAACCTCGAAAGACTACACACATCAGACTCAAGAACTCCCTTTACAGAGTGACAAACGCTGGCGGTTCTATGGCCATAGGGGAAAGAGGAAAAGACCAAAAAGAAAGAAGAACAGGAAGCTGAAAGTAGACACCAAGTTGTTTGCGATGCGTACTTCACAATCTGCAGATTACGACCTGCCATCGCATGAGTTGCAAAACATCACTACAATGCCAATCGCCGCAGCTCATAAACGTTAGGACTAAGTAGCTTTAGAAAGTCGTTAAAGTCTTTCTGTTATCTCCTTGCATTCAGGTATCTTACGCATCAGGGTCTCCAAAATTTGAATCCAAGCTGAAATATCCCAACACTTATCGAGGAGCTCCATCGTCAACGTCCTACAGCAAAGCTAAGGTGGCCTTTATAAAATACTTTGGCTGGAAAAGAGTGGCTATACTCCATCAGTATGATCCAGAATTCTTTTCTCCGGTAAAGTTTCAGGGGATTCCCCTACTTCCTCATCCAGCTGCTTTTTTAAATTCGGAAATACTATACGGGTTAGGAATCTCTGAAAAAATAACCGCACGCTAAGAAACAACTGAGCCAAGACCTTTTCTTTCTGACCTGCCTGCAGGGCCAGAAGTGAATTGATTAAACTGTTTTGAAACCCCTCATTAATTCGTGATGTTTTTACACCATATGCGGTGTTGAAAGGCCCACGAAAAAATGGGGACCCAAATCATATCATATCGATCAGAAAAGGCATTATTAAGGGAATATAGAGAAGCAAGAGTAAATATAGTGCATAAATTGCCACCTTTCCAAGCTCGGAATTATATTTTGTAATCTAGTTTTGTCTCTTCTTTCTTTTTCTCTTTCCTTACTGTTACCAAACGGGTACAAAATCCGAGGAGATATAATGATGCCAGATTTATACCTCGTTTTTCTGTTCATAATCATACAGACGGTGGAGAAGCTAAAGAATGAGCTGAAGAAAAGCAATATCAGCATCATCGCAGTGGAAGGATTTGAACAGCTGGGCGACGTCAGTTATCAATTGCAGAAACTCAAGGTAGCCAAAATGGCTTCTATGTAGCTCAGGTTAATTAAAATTACTTCAACGATGGCTGATTTTAAACTTCTTAAAATGATTTCTCAGGCTACCACGCTACCCGAAAATTTGAACAAGAAGAATTACCATAGACTACATTGCGAGATAGCACAAGTGCAACCAAAATGCAGTTCTTTTCATGTGCCCAGTAGGATAGTAATCAAGTTCTCGACTCAAGAAGCATTCGCCTTGTACGTTCTTCTTTTACTCCGATACAAAGCAGTTACCTTTTTTGAAGCTTACCAAACTTAGGTAATTTTTGGCGTCAGATTTAATGGGACTAAGGCAAAATAGACTAGGAGCAGGGCTCGTAGCAATACCAAGATAACTCAATTGAGACCAAAGGGAGTGCTGTACCAAACATTTCGCTTACTGTTTCTTCTCCTTTTTTCCCAATCAGGCTCTCGACGCAAGAATCATAATTGGCGAGTTTAACTTCATGGGAGCTAAAAACGTTTTTTGTGAAGTAAGTGACATTTAAATGGTGATGATGTCTTGATAACATCGATAATGCAATAAACTATAAGTCTCGACAGGAATTAATACAGTTTGTAGCAATTTATGCTGTTAGTTTTGACATGGATGCTTTTGTAGAAAGTTTGATTTTTTACCTTTTGGGTTATTTAATTTTGTCTTAAAACCCAAATTCATAAATCTACCCAGGCTTAACATCTTTTGCAGGCTTTCAAACAAAAAATGTATGGTCCGAACTATGCTTGGATAATATTCGGAGAATTTGCGCCCAGCAAAATAATTCCAATGAAAGACAAAGAAAATACTCCTTGTACAGTTGACGAGCTGAAGCAAGCAGTTGATCGCTTCATATCAACTGTCAAGCTTAACATTCGTCAGGACGATAAGGAAACGTTCTCTGGAATGGTATGTTCTGGTATTGGATTGGTTGGATTACTTATACTATACTTCCGGTTAGTCAATCACGAAGATCTGAAGGAAAACATTAGGACCGATGCATTTTTGTAGAGAAACATTACTTTTTAAAATTAAGAAGTCGAGTTTTGTCAAGCCCTAGGAGTCAAGTATCTCAGCCATTAGATCAAAAGCTCTTATAGTGTCTTAAAAAGCTATTCTTTGATCTTCTTCTAGGCTCATTGGCTCAGTCACGTTGTGCACCTCAGCAAAATGTTGTCAAAAGCAAACAACCAACAGAATTTCTTGACACAGCTTAATTAGAGAAACTTTGGGGTGTGCACCAAATGAAAATTAACCTGTGAGCGGAGAAAATTTAATTATACTGACTCTGTTTTACTTATCATCTATTGCTCTCGAAATTTAGAGAATTCCAATCTAGCTACCTGGATTTGTTTAGTTAATAAACATAATTTCAATTAATAAACCCTCGTTGGCTATTTCCCCCTTGAACCAGCCGTTAACAATCGATTGATGCTAGCGTTATGGTATGTCTAGTTTTCCCTTTGGTTAGTGGACACTGAAACTCAGGCTTCTGTGGCTCCAAACCGTCATTGTCAATAATCGTTAACATAGATAAGTATTATATAATACTTTCCTATCTGTCTGTAGACTGCAAAACGTTTCTGGAGGGAAATGTTAAAGCTGAATAAGACCAAGTGGCTAAGAAAAGAATCTGCGTACGCCTTTGACGTGGCTTGGATAATTGCATTAACACTGAAAGCTTCCCTCGCCAATGGATTGGAGTACGAGAACCTCCACACGCCAAATTACAAGTACCCTCTCAAGATGAGAAAATTAATTAGGAACATAAGCTTTCAAGGACTCACTGTAAGCAAAACTTTGGTCATACTCAAATATCGATTTTGCTTAAAAAATTGATTTTTTTAGGTTTCCGCGAAAAATTCAGAAGTTGTTATAAAAGATTTCGTTTTATCGGGTACTTGGCTGACTAATTGATTCTTAATGTAATTCTTCCCTGTCTCAGTGAATGCTGTGAGTATTTGGCGCGAAAATGGTAAGACCGTTCTGCAATTTTAGTCTAACCTTAATGATTCTGCATTCAAACATAAGGTAAATCCACCAGCCTGAGCACAGAAAGTTGTCAATATGTCCTAAACCTGGCAGTGTAGGCGAAAACTAAGGTTACATTTTCATTTTGACAGGTTCCATTTCGCTTTGAAAGCGAAAATTAAGGCTATATCTTATTTCGACAGGGTCCATTTCGTTTTGAAGAAGCCAGAGAACGACTTGGAACAGTTCTCATTAAACAAAACAGGAAAGGTAAGGACAGCATCTCTTAAAATAAAAAGAAAATGAGGTTCCTCGTAGTAAGTAAATCTCAAAGGTATTCGGAACGACCTGTAACATGCTGCCATATTTAAGACGGTCCAACGTCTCTCGTCCGGCTTAAATCTCCAAATGGATATTTTACGTAAATATGACAATTAAAACAATTAACAATTACGTTCAAGAGGAAATATATTTGTTGGGGTTTTTACTATGCTACCAAAGTAACGGTAAATACTAGACGATTTATTTTATTCAGGTACTCGTTTTGCCCCGCCACGTCTACCTTTCTAGCTATTTGCAGGGCAAACTATTCCACTTTTATTTTATGTAAAAGGATCAAAGAATGAAACTGTTGTTGTCGTTGTTCATCTTTCAGAAAACGAGACCAGGGTTGGTCAACACTTTACTTTCTCTGATCGGCTCCACATTTTCGAAGACCAGAAACATGAGATATGGCCAGGTAATGTATTTGATCTCAAGCATTATCGTGCAGTATTTTCTCCTCTTTTACTCCATTTTTCTCAACAAGGCGAAATCACTTGTAACCACACAACAATGACTAGTCAGGAAGGAAATGTAAAGGTACCTGAACATTTTGCGTGAGAGGAATTTAGCACTAGATACGATAATCCTTATTGTATTGCCTTCGTCGCTTTATTCACCCTTTGAGAGTGGGTAGTGGCGAAATACTTAAAGGTTGCCTACACCTCTTTTTCAGATAAGATACCAAGGGACCATACTGTGACAAAATTGGAATTCATGATGATCCCTCTTCCACTTATAGTAATCATGTGGCTTATGGCAGCGGTGGGAGTCACCTGTTCAGCATGTTTCCTGTATTTCAACATCAGCAATCGAAGGAACAGGTACCAACGTCCTGTGCAAGTTACCATCATAGAATAATGTAATTCAAGGGAAGGAAACTGTAGAGGTCCATAGAGATTAACGCGCTGAAAATCAGATGGTTCAAGCCAAAGACGGCTTATTGTCTTGTCTTGAGCAAGACTATTTACTCTTAAAATGCTTCTTCACGCCCTAAGCAACAGTGGGTGAATTACTGAGGCTTAGCCGCAGTGGACTAATGAGCAGAGGACACCACGACAAACTCCAGTACCAAAAGGGAATTAGGTTTCTGAGAAGTATCCTTTCTTAAAGGAAATGTATCCAGACAAATTCAAGATAACCGTAAAAAAATTGTGGAAGGCTCTGACTATCATATTCAATGGCGAATGCATTTTTAATTAATCTACTGAGTTGACATTACGTATGATGCACGATCCTTCGCAGTAGATAGCGCTATTTATGCAATAGCGAAAATCAGACCTGAAAAATATCAGGCCTGTACGGGATTCGAACCACTGACCTCTGCGATACTAGTGCAGCGCTCTACCAATTGAGCTAACAAGCCAACTGGGAGCAGGCCGTTAAGTTGATTCGTAATAAACCCGTGATGATAAATAAGATACAATGAATATATGAAGTTCATATATTTTGAACTGCGGTATTAAATACGTATGATGCACGATCCTTCGCAGTAGATAGCGCTATTTATGCAATAGCGAAAATACCGCTGTTCAAAATATATGAACTTCATATATTCATTGTATCTGGTTTATCATCACGGGTTTATTACGAATCAACTTTACGGCCTGCTCCCAGTTGGCTTGTTAGCTCAATTGGTAGAGCGCTGCACTGGTATCGCAGAGGTCAGTGGTTCGAATCCCGTACAGGCCTGATTTTTTTCAGGTCTGATTTTCGCTATTGCATAAATAGCGCTATCTACTGCGAAGGATCGTGCATCATACGTATTTAATACCGCAGTTCAAAATATATGAACTTCATATATTCATTGTATCTGAGTTGACATTGTCATAATTTAGTTTCTGAGAATGCTTGTTGATTTAGTTTCTCAGAGTACTTGTTGATTAAGTTTCTGAGAGTTCTCGTTGGAGTTAAGAAACGTTTTGGTAACATGTTAGTTGATATAAAGCTTATATTGCCGTTTTTCCAAAGTGTTTATCGAGCTTGGCAACCATGCGACTCGTTCTGAATGTTCATCGACACAACGATAACACTACAATGTATCGAAGTTTTCCAAAAGTAATGCTTCACCAAACGATGAAAATGGATTTAGAACTTCTGCTTAGGGAATCCCGTGTAAATTTACAATAAACATAATAGGTCATTTTATTTGACCTAAAGGAGTTAGATGAAGAAGGGAATAAAATAAGCGTATCCGTTAAATACTTGCATCCCCTCAACGTGCAATATTTCTTCAATCTTTGAAAGCTATACCTTAAAATTAAATATTCCTCTACCCTGAAAGGTAACCTTCTTTTCATTTGGGGTGGGAGCATACCTCAAATTTCATGTTTTGAAAGTTCCCCATCAGATTTCAAAAGAGAGTTTCTTTTTTCTTTAAGAGCACCTACGTCCCTACACATCACCCAAAGAAACATGATATCGTGTGAGAGATGAAACCTTTATTGATTCGTCTTGTCACTTAACACGCCTCTCGTTTGCTATCTTTTAACGAGCAGCTGCATTGCTGGCGACAATTACCCTGTGTATTTCCAATTTTTTTTTTTTTTCAATAGAATTATCAAGATGTCGTCGCCGAAGCTCAATAACATAATAATCTTGGGGTGCATACTTAGTTACGCCTCAGTCGTTCTTCTTGGATTAGATGCGAGGTTTCTCGATATTGGACAATACGGGTACATTTGCAACGTAAGCTAACCTTCTACTGCATTTCATAGGGGGTCATTCAAATACTACCATATCTTTTTGTGTTATTGATATTCCAAAAAGGGCTTTTCCACTGGAAAGAGAGGGAAGGACGTTGGCAGATATATTAATCAATGGGCTTAGACTTAAGTCATAAGACGTAGGAACATAACTCTGCGACAGTTATACAGCATGAAGTACATGTTGTATTTCCCATGTGTGCAAGCTCGCATCTACTGCAAAGCTTATGGTTATTCAAATTTTCATAAAAGATCTAGCCGGTTACTATGCAAATAGTTGATTACTGAGGAATGCATCTTTCATTTACACCCCCCAAAAAAAGTAAATAAAAGAGTATACCTATCTCGTCGATTCTTCTAGCGGACCAAAATTGATCCAGTCTTAGGTGTTTAACTTCTCTCTAAAAATAAAAAAATCTTCTCATACCAACAGGCGCGAACCACAGTGCTGTCCTTCGGATTTTCTTTATCATTTGGTGCCATGTTCAGCAAGACTTGGCGAGTTCACAAGATTTTCACAGCGGCTAAGACTCTCAAGAAAATGGTGAGATTTATTGCGATAATTATATTTCAGGGAGACACCTGAAAAATACGCCTAATCAAAAGTTTTAAGTATAAGTTAGTTTAACAAGCGACTCGAAAAACAAGCCACCAATCCGTTCCTTCGACGAAATAATAGGGAGCTTTAGCAACGACGACGGCGACGGCAACGAGAACGGCAGGAAACTATAGGTTTAATGAGCAAAATTAATCGCCCTGCACGTGCGTTTAACATTTTGGTACATTTCTTTGCCGTTCTCGGCAAAACAACAACGTGAAATAACCAAACTTTAGGTTTTCTCGAGAACGTGAACGCATGACGGTTAATTTTTCTTTCTTTCTCCTTACTTTAACGCCATTCGTAGTGATATAGTTCCTGAATAGTTCGCCAGCATTTTCCAAGTGAAACACATCGGAATAACCTCGAAAGAGTTACAAAAAAGAAAAGTTAGATTTCGACACGACGTTTTCGTTGCCGTCGCCGTCGTCGTTGCTAAATCTCCCTGATAAATATCATTGTAATCATCGATTGTGAACAGTTCAAATCTAAAATATATTTCTCCTCTCACAGGCAATAAGGGATTTTCACTTGCTCGCTATTGTGGCCGGTTTATTGCTGGTGGACTTTGTCTTCCTATCCACATGGATAGCAATTGATCCTCTTGAGACCGAAAAATTGCGATTCGAAGAGCTGGTAAGTAAAGAGAAAACAGTCACATCTATGTCAACGCGATGAATGATACTCGGCTTATCTTGAAAGTAATTTTCCTCTTTCCTTTTTTCTGCTTCTTTCCTCTTTGGCCCTATATTTCTATGCATACCCATGAGTCTGGTGCGTTTGACCGTCTTTTTACGGTCGATTCCCATCCAATGTTTGAAATAGAAACTCTGATATGGAAGGGTCATTTTGTCGATAGACCACCTAGCACCTAAAAAGACCTGGGTAACAACTTGTGCGACTTGAAAACTTTGGCTCTATTCTTCAATCTCGGCATTCACCATCCGGTATATCTCCATTTCGCTACCTATCCTTGTTTCTTCTTAACGTATCATTGCCTCTCCGATGTGTTTCAATCTCCTCTAACAGATACGTGCCGCTCTTTTTCGAGTTAAAGACAACCGCACAGTCCCCAATTTAAAATTTTAACTTTGCCATAAAAAGATCACCTATATACCGTGATCTAGATATCTTTGACAAACAAGAGATTTCGTGTCTTTTTCTGTTTTTTTTTTTTTTTGCTGATAGACAAAAAAAGAACAAGACGTTATCATTATCCCTGCATTATTCCAATGCACCTGTAGATACAAGACATATTTTCTAGGGGTTTTGTTCAGCTATAAAGGAATCCTCCTCCTGTTTGGGCTTTTCCTGGCTTGGGAAACACGTAATGTTACCATCCCTGCTCTGAACGATTCCCGATACATTGGTATGTCGGTTTATAACATGGTGGTGCTGTCCATCATTGGGGCTATTGTGGCCATTGCCTTGGATGGCTCCATGTACTATAAAGCCCCTTACGCCATTTCATCGCTGTGTCTCATCGTGTGCACCACTGCGACGCTGTTACTTGTTTTTGTCCCAAAAGTAAGTTGGAAGATTTTTTCATTCCAAATGTGGACCTGTCACGCACAGGGAAGAAAAACAAATATATTTACATCATGGCTCATTGTTAAACTTGTCAAATCGATTTAACAGTTGTAAAGAGAAAGATCTGTATCGCTGTGTGATTCTTGAGATCTCTTCATATTTTGCCTTTAGATTTATCAATTTCTCACAAAGGATGAGTCGTTGACAACTCAGGCCTCGAGAATGCATATTGGTCAAACTAGAAAAGGAGCTACTAGTAACAGCTTTAACCGTGGTGGTAGTCCCGTTCTGAGGGAGCGTAATACCTCATTCACGTGTAAAGGAACACAAACAGACTGTGATGTTCCTGGAAGTGCAGGTACATTGAAAAATGATGTCTTTCTCAAATGGTAATCTAGATTCCCATGTTGTAGAATGCATAAGTCGTACATCTGTCAATGTTTCCCTCTGTCACCCAATGACGTCTAAAGCCAAATGGACTTATTGCTTGGTGGGTTTTCTCGTATCACTCCACCTTTCAATCATCAATAGAACATCTCAGAGATAATATTAGATTAAACTGTTGCTACTACTTTTAGGAAATTGTACCCCACTCCTTTCACTGGTAGAAACTGATGTAAAATACGACGGACAAGACTTAAATCTTTTAAGTAAATGCTATTGAAATTCAACAACTAGTATTGTCTTTCACCAGCCTTGAGTACAACAAATGCATTTGGCCTCGCACACAGGCCATATAGACACCTACCATTCAGCGCTGAATATACTAAGTCGATTTGACTGTTTGAGTTTTCGCTATATATCTGACGCACGCACCTAACGTCGTTCACGCATTCGTCCATTCATTCCTTTGACACCAATAGAGCTTACGATTGTTTCAGCATTTACCATGGCGTCTTTCCTAACAGGGTTTTCCTTTTATTTTTATGAATAAAAAGGGGGTTGTTCTTTTTTGATGAGACATGTACTATACTTTACGGATTGAGTTTCTTCTTTAAAACAGGTGATTTTCATTTTATCCTTCAAAAGATCCATCTTGATAAAGAAGAGACGGAAAAAGTAACCTAAATGTCGTTGTGTCTATTTCAAATGTCAGCAGGCCGGGCTAGAAAATACGGTCCCCAAAAATTTCTAATCACAAAGAGCGATTTTTTTGAGAAGATATGCTGCAAAAAGTTTTTCTATGACCCCAGTCGCTAGACTTTCGGAAAGGAAATATTAGATTAATTGCGAGTGATTTCGGCAGAGTACAGCTTCAGGTATTGTATTAGAAAAATATTGGGAGTCCATTACAAAGCAATGCAATTAACGTCGTGACAGCCGTTACTTTTATTTTTCAATATATATTTATTCTTATGGCGCCTAATCCATTTGCTTCCCTTCCAAGTAAACGGACTCAAGTTCCAGTGCGAGGGTTCCTCGTCAGATGACATACCTCATGAAATACGGATGGATGATATCAAACTTAAAGAAAGAATGGTGGTGGCATTCAGTCCTCAGACTTGCAAGCCAAGCATCAGAATCTGTTACTCTGAAGCTATGAGTAGTTTTTGATATAACTATAAAAGACTGAATTATGTAGCAGCCTCCTAACTTGTTATATCCTTTTCCTACAACGCTCATCAAAGAGTCGACCTATTTCTCGTTTTTCCCACGCCTACAGATTAGATGAAAAGCTTTTAGATTACTCTGCAAACGACCGAGGACAAGTCTTGATTCTAACAATTTCAGCTCCAAACCATTTCCTTTCGGGCCAGGCTGCTTTTTACGATTTACGTTATGACGTAGCTGTGACACATGAGTAGAGAACTGGTGTTACTTTCCAGGGTCAAAACGTCAATATCGGTCACATTTTCAAAACAGTCATGTATAATGTATAGAAAACACCAGGCGACGTGAATCTTAAATACTCCAATATCGAAAGCATAACCAGAGCAAACAGAACAAAAAATATGATCCGGAAATGTAGAACTGTTCTTATTTCCCCCTAATCCCCCACTCTCCCAATAACGCATGCTTCGCTATAGGGACTCTAAGATAGAAATGAACACAACCCTTGAGTTAAGTTAAATTTGCTGATATCAGTTGACACATAACACTATTACAAGTAAACTCACAATTCCCCTATTCGCTCCGACGAAGGGCTAACGCTCGAAACGTCAGCTTTTGTAATCATTACAGTGGCCAATTTACCATTTCAACTTTGTTGATATATCCAAATTATTTCGTTACTCCCACCGACGCAGCCCCAAACAGTTTCTTTCGAAACTATCAGCCTTTTGACTACTAGCTTGAGTGCGTAGATGCTTAAGTTTCCTTTTCCTCCTCTGCACACCATTGATGTGTTCATGGCCTATTGATTCTTTTTCTAACTACATTTTTACCCAGTGACTGACGCAGGGTAGAATTCAACTCATAGCACATATCCTAGAGATAATCTTAGAGCCTTTCCCGAACTCCTCTATAAGTTCCACTGCAAGGACGACGTAAATCAGAAGAGGCACTCAGTAGCGCGGTAGACACCGCAGTGTAGGTTTGGTGCACAGTGCATTAGCCTTGAAAAACCAAGGTCTTACGTCGGTTTAAAGAATGGCATAGGTTCTCTGGACCAATAACAAAACAAATTGTGAGTCGGTCTATTTGACGTTGCGGGACCGACATTAATTCCTTCGTCACTATTTTCATGCCATGTCGCCTAAGTTTCTCACCTTTCCCTGTTGTTCTTGTTGTTGTTGTTTTTTTTTTATTGGCTATTGCCGATCCTTCCCAATGCGCGATGAAAACGTCCTTCCAAGGTTTATCAGGCTTGCTGTCAGTTTATTCGTGGCGTCTTGAAAGTCTTTATAGGGTACCCGCATCGTTCTCGAGCACCCTAAAAAATTATCAGCTCGTCACTTGCAACAGTGGTCAAGCGGGACCATCACTTTAATAAATCATCCCCACTGTTACAACTAACCACGCCTACGATGAATTTTGTGATGTTTTGACATACTCCCCACTTCTCGTTTCTCAAATTTTCCCTATCTGACAGATCTTTCAATTTTGTGTTTAATTGCCAGTGCATTTGCGTTTTTACAAGGAAATACCGTTTGAATTTGCCTTGTTTACTAAAGTAGCAGACTCACTATGGTATTATCGGTATGTGGGTTAGGAAGTATTAATAGTGACAGTGGCTTTTTGTGATGGTTGGGATACAAGAAGGGGAGGTCATGAAATCTTCCACCGCAAATAGGAGCTCAATGTTAAACATCGAAATACAGTTAAATAGTCTTTCAGATCTCTCTATTTGAGCCGCTTACCATGAACAGTTCTAGATTTCGAAGAATCTTTGTACTTGCGAAGTAGTCGCTTAGTTTCCTAATATACTACATTTTTTGTCATTGTTATGGATTTTACCAGAAAACTGACGGTTTGAAGATACATTAATTTCAAATTAACATCAAATATTCTAAACTAGTTTCATAGAAAACCTCTTTCAAGCAATGCTAAGTGCGCCACTTGCCCTAATCAAAAGTATACACAAATTGAGATCCTGTCGAGGGTCCTGAAAGCAGTCGTTAAAACTTTTATCGAAAAGCGGAAGAAAGCCTGTTGAGAGATACAAGCTGTAGCGAGTGTCTTTCGGGGAAAACTAGGAAATAGGAAGAAGTTTTCGCCAACATTTACTGATTTTCTCCGTAGCACTGACTTGGTTATCAAATTTGAACTCGGTTCATTTGAGCTCAAGCTATACATTCTGTCGCATTCTGTAAAAATCCTGGTTCTTTGTAATACCTGTCACACATTACGATAACACTTTTCACAATTTGTCATAAGGAGCTGTCGCTCTATAAGATAACAGAAAATTACACTTTGTAATAAAGTAAGCTTTTGCAATTGTCACTTTGTACTAAATTTGTTCTACATGGTCGGGGGAACAAGTAAAACATCAAACGTGAACTTTATTTATACTCGAATTTTAGAGTAGCCAACGAGCTATCTTCGAACTAAAACTACAAGTGCTCAAAAATCCCTATTGGCAGGAGGCAGACCAGTAGGCTATTCACAGAGCGCAGCCGAGGATTTGAACTCGGGGCAACCGAGAACAAATCCAGTGAGTGGCAGGCTGGAGGACTTGAACCCAGGACACCGGATTACAAGTCCACACCGCCCACACACAAACAAGTAGACCCAATAATAACCATCATCCTCGCCAATGATAATTTTTATAACGATTATTATAATGATTATTATGACAGCGGTAACGACGATGATAAGGATAATAATGATAATGATAATAATAATGGAGATGGTGATGTGGGGTTATTGACGAGAATGATAATTATAATGATATGAACAGTTAAGACACTAACAATGATAATGGTGTGTCTCAACGAAGAAACCAACTGCAACTGCAACTGCAACTGCAACTGCAACTGCAACTGCAACTGCAACGTTCCGGCTGTATTCAAATGACAAGTTTCCTCGACAAGTTTCCTTACCGTCCACCTACCTATGAAAAGTTTATGGGAGAATTCAACCCCGTTCCCAGGGCCTTTTCCTTAGTTGGGGGTTGGAAAAGGCCTTGGAAACGAGGTTGAGAAAAATTCATAACCTGACTCGTGAATTCTGCGTTTAATCGCACTTGAAAACCAATTCTACGCGGAATTCTCGTGTCAGTCAATAGATTCTACTTGCATATGATGTACGATCCTCGCAGTAGATAGCGCTATTAAAGCAATAGCGAAAATCAGACCTGAAAAAAATCAGGCCTGTACGGGATTCGAACCACTGACCTCTGCGATACTAGTGCAGCGCTCTACCAATTGAGCTAACAAGCCAACTGGGAGCAGGCCGTTAAGTTGATTCGTAATAAACCCGTGAAAGTGATAAATGAGATACAATGAATATATGAAGATCATATATTCATATATTCATTGTATCTCATTTATCACTTTCACGGGTTTATTACGAATCAACTTAACGGCCTGCTCCCAGTTGGCTTGTTAGCTCAATTGGTAGAGCGCTGCACTAGTATCGCAGAGGTCAGTGGTTCGAATCCCGTACAGGCCTGATTTTTTTCAGGTCTGATTTTCGCTATTGCTTAAATAGCGCTATCTACTGCGAGGATCGTGCATCATATGTATCTAATACCGCAGTACAAAATATATGAACTTCATATATTTCATTGTATCTCATTTATCACTTTCACGGGTTTATTACGAATCAACTTAACGGCCTGCTCCCAGTTGGCTTGTTAGCTCAATTGGTAGAGCGCTGCACTAGTATCGCAGAGGTCAGTGGTTCGAATCCCGTACAGGCCTGATTTTTTTCAGGTCTGATTTTCGCTATTGCTTAAATAGCGCTATCTACTGCGAGGATCGTGCATCATATGTATCTAATACCGCAGTACAAAATATATGAACTTCATATATTTCATTGTATCTCATTTATCACTTTCACGGGTTTATTACGAATCAACTTAACGGCCTGCTCCCAGTTGGCTTGTTAGCTCAATTGGTAGAGCGCTGCACTAGTATCGCAGAGGTCAGTGGTTCGAATCCCGTACAGTCCTGATTTTTTTTCAGGTCTGATTTTCGCTATTGCTTTAATAGCACTATCTACTGCGAGGATCGTACATCATATGTATCTAATACCGCAGTTCAAAATATATGAACTTCATATATTTCATTGTATCTCAGATTCTACTTGATTCGCATAATTGAAACGAAATGAAAACAGTAATATATAATAATGTTGTAATTGTCTTTTATCCTGAGTGCGAAACAAGAGATGCGAAAAAGTATCACTAGGCCTCGTTTCCAACTCCGGATTCCACGCTAAACGCCCCGCCTCGTTACCAATCAGAATGCGAGATTTTATTCATGATGCGATTGTATTACAAAGTGCGCTGGTTTGTTACTACGACGTGCGACATCTTTTCAATTACCGAGTGAGAAAGGTATACAAACTGTGACAATTTTATCAAAAGTTTGACAGTGATTACAAAGCGCGATGATTATGTCTAAGTAGGACAGAACACCTGGTGAAACTACTGAATGAGAAAACGGAAAAACCACTTGGAGCTACCATAACTGCTGTCCGAAGAGGGAGAGAATGAATAAAACGGTGAGACGTTTTCTGAAAACTTTACCGCTTGCAATATGTTACGAAAGCTTTCATTATGAGCCATAAAATTATACTTTAATATGCAGTGTAATTAGAGTCATCCCATAGCCATTTATTTATTCATAATAACTTATTTCTGTAAATGAGAAATTGCGAAGTGGGCAATTTTGTTCACGTAGGGTAAATCCCATGTTGTTCTGATCCCCTTGCGCTCTAAACATACTATGTTCAGGACTAGAATGGTCATTTCCGCAAAGCTCTGCTAATGTTGAAGAAAGATGTTTTTTTTTCCACTTGTCACGAGCGTGAGACAAAGAAAGAGATTCGTCATGGGGAATAAAATCGTAGCTCAGACTTTCGCTCTCCCTCTAAGCTACAGAGACTCTTTAATAAGCTGGGCCTTTCCTAAATCCGTATTTGACACGCGTCGCACATACAGGCTCTGCAACGTCGAAAGCCTCTTCTGATTCAATTGAATAGCAAAGATTGTTCGTTTTAAGCTCGGAAATGAGCTAAAAAACGTGGGACAATGAAACATACTTAGTCTTCGTGAGAAATCGTTGAACCCCAGACCTTCGAATACTACTCTCCGACGATTTATCACAGGCCCACAAAGACTTCACTGTAAGTTAGACTACTACAGAGTTTATACATAACACTTGTCCGGTGCATTGTCATACTGCTAATATTGTTTCCAGCTCTAGTAACGAAAAACAAGGCGTTGTTTGAAACCAGAAATAAATTAGTTTTTGGAATTCTGAGAATACACCTCACTTCACCTCCGGCTTAAGAAAAAGGCTGAGTAAATCTAAAAATGATTTAATTCGTATTGTAGAAATAAAACATTCAAAACTGATTTAACCTGGACGGAGAAATATCTTAAATCACCCTGAGGAGTTTTTCACTGTTTAATGGTGGAGATAAAAATTCCATAGTTTCTGAAGAATACCTTTCTATGAAGTGAAATCATATCAGGAGTGTGCGAGAGAGAAAACCGCTTTAGTTACATCAGAGAGAGGTGAACAGTCAGTGGCAAATAAAGGAAGCTGAAG